TCCTTTTCTGTTTTTATAAGTAAATGCATTGAAATCTCTAATTTTAAGAGAGAACGTAATGGAAAAAAATAAATCGTTTGAAACTTTGTAGTTATGCTTAATCATAATACAGTAATATATTTGTAATATCTCGTGGATTTGTTAGAATTAGACATTAATACCATTGGATGCCAACTTTGTAGTCTAAAGGTTAAGCGATCACGAGCGAGACTGATAGGTATTGGGTTTGAATCCCACGAACGGCATCGCGGATACGCACTGTTGAGGAATCCCATACTAAAATAAAACAGCCGTCTAGTGCTTCCAGGTTTTCCACGGTGATCTAGCTTCAATTGACTGATGAATTCAACTATTAAATATCTCAAACTGTCGAACATCGAATTTTTGACATTCTAGGATTTTATGTATTTCGTTTCTGTAGTGAATAAATAGATGAATTAAATTACAATTTCAGATAGAATAAAGAGTAAAACACCAAAATATTTTGTACAATGGAAACACGTCAGATCATACTTATGTTATGTCATTCATGTCAAAGCTGTATATATTCGTATGACATTCTCTAATACAAAAAGTAACACAGTTGACACAAGCTAAATCTGTAGATAGGTTGAATATATATCATTACAAAATATCCCATCCATGTTTGTATTTCTGTCTAAATATCTCAACTAATCTATTTCTTTCGGATTTTATTGAAGTCACTGTAGATAAACAATAACCTTACGTGTACTTACGTGCTTTTATTATTAGTACGGTCAGATTTTGTGATGATACTAGATAGTGGAAACACTGCACTTGATGGTATATTTTTCGTTTCTTCTATCCACTGATAAAACGAAAGACATATAAATTGGAATTGTGGTCTCTTTTGGTGTGGTGGATAGTGAAATACTTCTAGAAGATGAAAATATAGAGAATTACATCAATGGAAAACATTTTTTACATGTATTTTGAGTAATTGTAACGTGTATGTAATAAACAGATATTTGTTGTAATAATGTAGCAATTGTGATGAGAATTCTGTACTGCACTACAACTTACAGTAATGAATTAACCTATTATTATTCATATAAAAACTAATGAGGTCATAAATATAAGATTCAGTATGTTTAGTTTAGTTTCTGACTACAAGATCGTATAAATGTTTGCTATCGCCTATTCTCGTATATAATCGTCGACTTAATCGCGTTAGCCAATAACGGAATTAAATAAGTCGAATAACGAGAATTGACTTGAGAATACATATATTTCGTACATAAAGCGAATGAAACAGAGCAAGGCAAAGTGACACGCAGGGAAGATGGCTGGGAAGCCAACTTCATTTTAGTCAAGCGTTGCTCAATATTTATAGTCAGACAAAATAAAGCTACAGACATGCAGTGAGTCATGGGATATGAAGTGTACACACATATACGCTCATATAAAAACAGTCTAGATTGATAAGTGAATGAATAACAAGGTCAAAGTATGGCTCAAGTAGAATGAATAGAATGGGATGTCCGAAAGCTAGAATAAGGTATATGGGCTTAACATAGTAACTGACACTACATGTTAAACTGATAAAATTATTCTGAATGGACTAGTCTCAAGAAGTTATTTTAACAACTTTAATACTACGGTAAATGTTATTTTGACATGAATCGTTATTGACGTTTTTCAGATGATTACTTGTTTGATACATTGTTTTTTAGCAGACACAGAGATTGTGGTGTCTAATCCTATGTCAAGACCACATGGGTTATTCTATCTTTTGAACAGATTAGTGTATTTATGTTTCTCGAGTTATATTTTGACCTTGACAACCACGAAATAAAAAGTGACGTGTAGTTTTTTCTCGAATAATTGATTTAAAATAAATGGAACGTATGGTGGTTCTGTAGCTTTACAATTTTGGTAAAACTTGTCTATATGAGATAATTTATTGTCTTTTAATATTTATTGTCTTGTCATTATTTGGAAGGCAATTATGTCGATCAGAAATGGTGATTAAATGCTACTTGTACTAACTTATTATGAAATGTATCGATTTTACAACGTTCAATCCAGTTGTTTTTGTTACGAAATGTTCGATGCATCAGTAAAACAGTTTTTGTATCATCAAATCTGAAAATACAGTGAAGAATTCGGGAGATGTGCATAAACTAGTACCATCGTATATACAACTAAAAGAAGCTAATATGTTAAGAAAAAGTTGCTTAAAAGTTATTCTTCATTAGATTACTGCAGGATAGATTTATACAACAGTTAACTAAACTGGTTAAGACTAGTGATCAAAATGATGCATTAAGTTGAGGGAGATACTTTTTATTGAATTGGCTGGTAATTTTAGCAATCTTTTTCACTTAATTTGTTTAATGTTCCAATTGAACCAGTATTCAGTGGTATGAAAAATGATTGGAACCGAATGAAAGATTCTTTTAAATAAACATGTCACTACATTATTGGATTGAATAAAGATGGATTCTTCATGAAAAACTTTTCAATGACGAAGAGTTGCCGATTCATAAAACTATCTCTGCATTTATTTTCAATGGTGATTTACTGTGTTAATTCGGACAACAAATATCGAATGAAAAAAATTGAAATGATTGATCATGGATGTTATTGCTACAGGGTTTATGTAAACTAATATTCATACATAAGTATATGGTTTATACTGTTTCAAAGAATTACTTGTTCTTTGGTTTTCAAATAGGTCAAAGTCAATGCTATGTTCAAGCCATAATGAAAATGTAAATATTTCTTGCAAATTTGTGGTTACTTAAATAAATTAAAGTAGTTTGAAAAATCAATCAAAATTATTCAGATTTTTTGTGTTTACGTAACAGGAAATGCGTGAAAGAAAGCAGTTTGAAATTAAATGTTATACGAACAATTTTTATTACTTTTAGTTGAACGAAATACATGTATGGATTTATTCTTTATGTGTTCATATGTCACATTCACCAAAATTTGTGCACTTTGATTAGGTATAGTGTTTTCAGTTGACGGAATTATAACATATACGGTTTTCGAAATAAAAACTTATTATGGAACTTTACATTTAAACTACATTTTCGTGATTATATTATTCATATATTGTTAAGCATCCTGGAAATCTTTGTTTCTAAGCTTTTCTCACGAATTTTTTGAAGAAATCATAGGGTATTCACCCACAGTATTTGTCGTCATTCAGATAATAGATTCAGGATGATGTAAAAGTTGTTGAGTTCAGACTATTAGCATTCTTATCAGGTTGAAGTTTTGGTAAATAAATATCAAACATGAAATGTGTGAGAGTTAAAGAACGTAAAAAATATTGCTTTCTCTAAAAAAGAATACCTTGGGACAAGATAATAAAGCTACCGACGTTTGGCTGAATGAAATCTCGAAATCAATAAAATGGTATGTGTCAGGAAACATATCAAATACTAAGTATTATATTAACGCCTAATATGTGATGAACCGAATAATGAATTATTAGATTTACCAAAGAGAATAAACAGTTTTTCATATCAACGATCAAGTACAACTAAAAAAGATTGTGTGTATACCTTTTGATCTTATTACATAGAATCACTCACATCAACACCTCTCCTTAATGGGATAATCTATATTTCAAACTAGAAAATATATGATAAAATGTATAATTGCTGTACGAAATACTACTTAAATCCTTTAAAAAACTAAGTAGAGGTTAGACTCTGAATAATGTAACAATAAAACATGAGTAATATGGTTTCGAAATAATGTTTAATAGAAGTGATCAGTGTCATGGTTTTAAAAGGATGTGAATAGTTCCATGGGATAAAATATTCATTAGTACAAAAGAAATTAGTTTTTCTATGAACACCTGACGAAGCATCGACACAATATTACGTAACCAACACACAAGTAAATGTAAACCATCAAGTTATTTACAAAGTAATTTATAGAGTACATATTTATAGTTCATGCTACTTATGTTGACAGATATACGTAGTACGTACCAGAAATTGCAAGTGGAATGCCTGCGAGTAGAAGACTGAGAAGATTGTACAGAAGCAAACAGGAAGGGAGACAGAGAGCAGTTGTATATAACAATATAATTAAAATAAGCATTAGGCATATAAAAGACAACTAATGGAAGATGTACAAATAATGTATTCAATATATGGTCTTCATATTTTATGAACACACCCTGTAATTTTGCATTGAATAATAAATTGGTTTTCTCCACCTGAGTTCTTGTTCACTATATATATATATATATATATATATATATATATATATATATATATATATATATATATATATATATATATATATATATATATAAACATCTACCCATTATGATATCCATGTATACAAATTCTTTCTAAAAGATTCACAATGTACATAAGGTATTTGATAGTAGTAGTAATAGTAATGATAATAAATTTACGTCTAGCTGACGAATTACTAATTAAGGCTTTCATACAATAAATAATACATTTGCATAGAATATTAACACAAACTACAACTCTATCCTTTGAGATAAGGTTTCTTCTACATTCAAATGATTAATTTTGATAGAAAGTCAATCAAAAATTAATGAGATCAAGACATGAAGTCTTGAAGTTATTCATTTAAATATACAGAAATATTCTTTACTTATCATAATTATCATTAATAATCAAATAATTAATCTTGTCTAAATAGCTATAAATCGTCCAATCAAACTGTAAATTTCCAAATCTTAACAAATGAACTGACCAATGAAATTTAACTCCTGAAAAATTTGCGGTAAATTCGCTTATGTTAAGGTCTAATCAACAGTAATTGAATAGTTTAATTAGTTAGAATGCAATCATATCAAAAGCATGAATACTATTGATTCAATTTATAAAATTTTAAAATAGTTCAAGGGATAGTGTCATTTATTTGTTACCAAGTTATGGATGGTTGTGAAAAAAATATAAATAATGTTCATATGTTTATGATTTATGTAAAGCTCATGTGGATAATACAATGTGATTTATGCATTTTATCGATTCCAGATTAATATTAATGATCACCTACAATCTTCATCGTCATCAATATGAAAATGTATCTTATAGTGTTGGTAAATGCAAAATAATAAATTATTAATCTTATAAAGTTTACCAATCATATACAAACATCAGTTTAATCCGGAAGAAGCTACGGGTTTTAAACCTGTTGAAAACAATGAAGCAATCATCAAAACGCAGCTCTCGAATATCTTCTCGATGTTTTCAATCTATTATGTTCTTCAGTTTATCAATGATTGGTATCCAATGTGCGAGCCCACAAAGTAAGTCAAGTTATATTTTACGGACTTAAAGTAAACATTTAAGTAAATATTAATTAGGATCAAGTTGATTAGACTTTTATTAGTTGATTTATCAGAAAAATTTCACCTAAATACCTTAAATCACGTCTCACTTACTATAAATTTTGAAGGTAAAATCGTTTTGACAGACAAACCTGTCTCTTTTTCACAATGTTGTAAGATAAAACATAAATACTTAATCTTAAGTTTACTTCTTCAACAATTTTATTCACTCAAATCATCCTTATGAATCTAGTCTATAAGTTTGGGTAAAGTACTTGAAATGTCATCTTCAAAAGGATACTTTCACTTGTTTTTTTTACCGATTTAAAGATGAATAGCTTATCTTCCAATTCACTGAAGTCAGCATTATCATTTCGATTGGTTCATGGAACGTTTAAATGAGTCTGCGTTGTTCTAGTAAGCATATATGATTTAAAACAATGTGACAATTCAACATAAAACTATGCAATCAATGCAAGGTTAAGAATTAAATGTGGCAGTAACATAATACATAACAATTAGACATCAATAAGAGTTTTTAAATGCATTAAATAGAAATCTTTATAAGGATAATACTCGGTTAAAAAATCCCAATAGTGTTATATTTGAAATTATTATGTTTTATGTTCATCCCCATGTGGATACTGGACCTTAATTACCATGCTTTATCACTAAGTACAATGTAAATAGTAACGTTCTTTCTACTGAAGTAATATATTTATGACTGACTAGCAAGCGTCTTTAACTTCCTAATTATGTATCCTGGATAATAAAAAAATATATAAATCTAATATATCTCTATTCAATGCTAAATAATATGGAATGTCAAAATCTAGTTTACTTTAAGTAAAGACCGTATATCATAAAAAGTGAATAACGAATTATATAATCAACCTACTAACAACAACAAAAAGTATTCTCTTGTTATCATTTCACTAACCCGCCATAATGAATTTCTTATCTTTCGCTTATTAAAAGATTTATCGGATTCAATTTAATAAACAATCCTGACATGTTTTATTTATTTATTGCTTTTTTTTTAAAAAAAATACACTTTTACTAGAAAAAAAAGAAGGAACAATTGTGATTGTTCTTATCTCTGGCCTACTGCCTAAACGAATTTATCCAGTGTAACATATTGTTAGAACTTCCTATTTCTTTTTTTTGTGTGCCTCTTTTTGATTATCAAATTTCAATGTAAACAGTAGTGAAACACCTTTTCTGACATGAAATCTAGTATAGTTTATTATTATTATGTAAACCTTTGTGTTATTCCTTTCTTCCCAATAACATTGTACAGCATTGTGAATATATCTGCAATCTATTTTTAGTCACAAAAGTTTCATTTGGGATTTATTGGAAATAGGAAAATTATGTATGAAAATTAACTTTAATATGTTAGTCTAAACAGTTGATATATCAATATATATGTTTATATATGCAAATGAATAGTGTATCAATATACATTGATATATGTATTCATAGTAAGTATCCTATTACAGAATGGCTTCCTCATCATCATCATCTTCTTCTTCCTCTTCCTCTTCTTCTTCTTCTACTTCTTCTTCTTCCATATTATCCTATTATTGTAATAATTAAATTATTCATGAAGTAAACAAAATAGTTTGGCCATTTCTAGCTTATACCGACATCATAAATCTGATAAATCTGAATACAAAATAGTAAACATCTAATAATTTTTACTATATGGTTTTATTTCTAGTTTATATTTGTCAAAGTGAGTTGATCTATGCAAATAATAATAACTAACCCTGTTAATTATCAATGTAAAGTTATTGTGACAATGAAAGTAGTTTGAAAAGAAAGAAAAAAGACGAGAAAGTATTTATTATTCCTACAAAAAGAAAAAGAAGATAGAAGTAGTTTTCTTATCCGTAGTGATCAAGGGTATCTTTTGATTAAGCATCACTTATATCAGATGCTTAGACATATGTGCATATACCAGAGATGTGTTATTGCATCTAGTACATAAACATCAATAAGAAACACGTTTAAACGGTTATTATGATGGGTAAGGTATTTTGGTACATAAAAAACGATTTGATCATGTCATTAAATGTGCTGGTTTATATTGTGAAAATCACAAAAATATCACATTTCAAAAAAGGGGAATATAAATTTAGATAACCCACTTTTAAGTAAATTTATCGCTTATTATTTTCGATCACAAATATCAGGTGTTTTTGATGTTTTTTTATATTACTGATCATAAGCAGATGCACTTTATTTGAGATCATGAATTGATCAATGTTAGAGTACCGCTTAAGACCTGGGAGCACGGAACGGCCGTTTCGTCCTAGTATAGAACTTCTCGGCAATGTGCATCAACGATACCACGCGTGAGATTCGAATCCAGGAACTTCGGCATCTGAAGATGTTGATGTCTAACTTTAACCAATCCACGATATCGCACAACCACCTTCTATTTTCTTCAGTGGGTAACTGCCTAACACTCGACACGGATTTGCTGTGCTGGTCACGGCTTCTTACCAGAATTCCAAGAATTACCTCTTGACGATAGTTGCTAGTGAGCATATGATAATTATCAGTATAGGGTTGTAAAGATTGTTGAGTTTTGACAGTGATCATGAATCGATAAATGGTGTTCTAAAATTAATCAATTCATGATCTCAATCCAAACTGAACATTCTCCACGACCATACACTGATAAGTGTACTTTATTCAAACCTCAAACAACTGGCTGATAAACATCTTTGTAAAAATCTAATATCTAATCAATTTCTATGCTATAAGGTGGTTAAGTCTATCTTTTTATGTTTCATTTTTAAATTTTCCGACATGTAAATGACTGTTTCTGAAAACATTTTAAGATGAAATAAATTGCAGCTATTTCATTTTATATCCCATCAATCTTGCAGCTCTGCCTGTGTACTGTTAATTTTTAAGAAAATGTTTTGAAGTTTCCTCAAATACTGTTTAATAAATACATGATATCGTTTAAATAAAGCCAGTCAATGTCACTGACTTAGTTTAGAACAGTTATCACTGAAGTGATGGAAAATCTCCAACTATCCGACTAAATAATTGTCTGAGTAGTTCTCAAAGAAATTTATTCAATTCATCAATTGATCTTATTTGATAATCTTACAAAAATCATTATAGTAATAAATTTATATTTCATCCTAGATTCTCACCTATGCAAAGTGTTCACTCATTATTTAAGCTCATATTGAACTTAGAAGTTTCGGGTTATTACGGTCATGGATAATGCTCACAGATGCCTGGTATAGATTTCCACTAACAGATAATAATAACTATTCACATATTCCTGATTGTTTAACTACAGAAATTTATCATCAAACTAAAGAAATCTTCTATCTTAACAATGATCTTTACGTTTTACCAACATGAATATGTCCTGTAAAATATTTTCTATTCAACTAGCTTAGAGCAAAAATATAATACATATTTATATCCAATACATAATATATGTGTACAAAATGTACGCAGATATATATATATATATATATATATATATATATATATATATATATATATATATATATATATATATATATATATACGTATATAGATATAGATATATGCAAACAGCTAGTCGGGCGAATCGTTTTTATATCCACTATTAAAAAGACTACGATGGTTTTAGTTATTTAACTTAATTTACATAACTTTTCAATATCACATTGTACAGATTATTTTCGTCTACAGTTTTTATATGATGTGAATGTTTTTTTTGTTTTTTTTTTAAAAAAAGACTAAAATATTTGTACAATTTTCAAATATTTACAATCATGTATTTTGAATGTTTTCAGACATTGAATTCTTCCACTTTATCTCTATTCATTTCTTGTACTAAGATACTGTTCATGAAATGTTGACGTACGAAAATATATATGGTTACGTAATATATATATATATATATCTAGCAACATTCTATTCCAGCACACACACATACGAATGAATTATAGAATATTACAGATTTGAAAAGTCATTGAATTTGTGTTTATAGTTTAATAATACTTGCATATAACCTATTAGATCGAGAAGTTCTGTTTAATATCTTGAATTGATCAGTATCACTATTCTAATTCTAGTATATATCAATAGAAGATCAAATAGTTGATCAATGGAACGTCCTTGGAATCTTTCAAAATGTCAGAATGTAACAAATATATATATTTTTAAGGATAAAATCTGTCTTTTACTTAAAATTCTGATACTTGTAGGTAAAAACGCTTTAGTTTGTCTATCATATAATAGTTGTTGTTTTTTTAATGGCTAAATGCACATGATAATTAACTTTTATGGTTAAGAAAAATAATCTGATGTTTTAAGTGTTGGGCTATCATTATTATTATTATTGTTATTGTTATTAAGTTATGTTTATTCTAAATCACCCATAAATCATCCATCTAAGATCATTAGAACCATAATAATAATTTGTTCAAGTAATATTGTGTCTGGACACAGCAGAAAATGTTCACCACTCCATATATCAGTACATTTAATGAAGAAATAATTCCTTCTAGTTTTCATCTATCCAAATCGAATCTGACATTGATTCATAGATCATATGATAATCATGACAGTTTTACTTCATCAATCTATTTAATATACAAAGCACTAATGTTGTTAATAATTTAAGAGTGTTCTATTTGTAGTTTATGAAAAGCGTATCATCTTAGTTTTCTTATTTGTTTAGTTCAAAACAAAAATCACCATATCATTACATTCTATGAACGAAGCATAGTCATTCTAATGGTTAAATTCTTTCTTGATTATTATAAAACACACGACAACAGCAGTCAGTTAAGCCTATTGATCAAAAGAAAAAAATTGTTTTTTTTTAATGTTTCACTTGACGACAATAAAAATTTAGAATCACCAACTAATTTTTTAAAAATCAGTTCTCCATTTTTCTGTTTGGTCACAATTTTGAATCAAGAACAACGATTCATAAATTTTGATTATACGCT